TTTTTTTTTTTTTTTTTTTAAATAAAGCTATTCTATTCCAAAGCATCCCATAATGTTTGAATTTGTTGCACAGAATATTTTGGAAAAAATGTGCTTATTATTTGTTGTTCAGTCAACAACTTCAGTGACAACAATAGCAAAATTAGCTTTCCTAGTCGAATCTTGGAAAGACTTAGCGAAATTGCATCTGATGTGGTTTGACAGTTCGACAACATCAACAAGCCTTGTTCACGTATTGTCCGTACCAGCGGCACATTGGAAAGGCCAAAAACTTCTGAAAAAAAAAAAAAAAAATAGATTTGTACAAATTGGTGTCAATATGCAGTAAAAAATAAAAGAAAAAACGCATCAACTATTTATAAAATCAGTGTTTTTTTTTTGTTTCACCTTTTTCACACATTTACCACCGAATAAACACTATTCTATAGCACTTTTTAAACAAAAAAATAACCTTTCTGTTACTGGTTGTTTTCCTCCTTCTTCTTGTATTTTTTTCTTTAAAAAAAGTTGTTAAAATTTGAAAAAAAATTCAATTACAACTTAAATTGTTACCACTATTATTATTATTATTATTATCATTTTTAATATTATCATAATAAAAGCTGTTTATTTGTTCAGAAGACTCACTTGGATCAAAAGCAAAAACAACGGTTAAACTCCACACTTCGACGCTGTTCAGTTGCAGTTCGCTAACTTCTTGTGCAAAAACCTTTAGTTTGCTATCGTTAACAAAGGCTGTAAGTTAAAAGATTATTTTTGATGACATGTATTCTGTCTTATCTGTTTCCCACATAAATGATTAACATTAACGCCGCCAGTTCCCGGATTATCATCCTCTCATCGTCAAGTTTTTCCGTTCTACTTTTTTTCAGTGTGTTCTCCAAACAACTTTTAAAGAAAGTTTAATCTTTTGTTGATGGTAAATGCACAGTGTTCAGCTTTTTATTGAAATTTTTAGTTTTCTGAAGAACATAAAGCGTTCAAGCTATAACTGCCCCAAAAGAACTCTGATGCAAAAACTGCAACAGTTCAGGCGGTAGTGCCAACTGATGATGAATAAAACTATGAAGTATCCTGAGAAACTCAGCAAAAATAAAAAATAAACGAAAAAAAAAAAGAAATGGCACAAAATAAAAACCATTGTGGACAGCTTAGAAAAACTTTGCTAAAAAAATCTTTAACTTGTTTTCAAAATTTTTAAAAACTAACACTTTTTTTTTTGTTCCCACCAACGAAAATATGTATGCCTTTAAAAGCCGGTGCTTGAATAACCATCAAAAATTTGACCATTAAATTTTGAAAAAAAGAAACTTACTCTCAAAATCAAAAAAAAGATTTCATTCTTACTGCACAGAAGTCAGTGTTGCAAGAAAAAAAAAACCAAAATAAAAAAGTTAAAGAAGAATGCTTACTAAATGCAGATTCAAACTGTACAGAATAGTAGAGTAGAAATATTTGATGCCAAAAGTTATGAATCAAAATCTTTCGATCAGCCGATGTCAACTGACAAAATGGTGGCGAAAGTAACAGCCAGGAAATAATTGATGTTAGATAACTGAACGTTTTTGTTTGATTTGGAACTGAATGAATCGTCAAACGTTCTGCAAAAAAAAAGGAACACAGGTGGACAGTTTAGGTAAAATGGTCAAATCCTGAAACTGTCAGATAGCTCATCAACGGTTAATAATTCTAAACTATTAACAATCAAAAAGAAGAAAAGCTTACCAACAGAAAAATTTTTTAAATTTAATGATGTCGAATGTTCAGCCGTTGTTGGACAAATTATATTCATAACGGTAGCTGTTGTTCTAAAACACCAGAAGACGATATCTGAATTGATATGTGGAAACAAACAAAATGTATAGTTTTTTTTCAATTTTTTCTGCTGCTGCTGCTGCTGAATTTCCAATTAGAGAATCGCCCAAAAAAAGTGGTCTAAAACGATACCTATCGGATGAAATCTTTACATTTGATCGCTGCTGAATACATCGTTCGTGTTGAACAGCTGGAAGTTGATGAAAACGATTAGTGACTTATCAAATGCTTCATTTTTTTCCGTTTTCTTCTTTTTATTCATATATTTAAAGCTAATGTCACAAAAAGCAAGCCTACAAATATTTAGGCAGCAACTAGCCAACAGTCTGATACCACTAAATTGAACTCCTTGAAATTTATACAATACAGTTCAGATACCAACGATAAGCTGTTGGAAAAAACACCAAAATTTTCAGCACCGTTGTCAACAAATCGATTACTAATGTACGAACAGAATTGAAAGCACTTTGTTGGTAGACTAAATCCAAAACACCACTATTTTTAAACACAAACAACTGTACTGTTCATTTGAGTAAAGCTCAGACAAAATTTATCATTTGTTTTATACCCTTTGTCCATAACTTTATATAAGTTACAGTTACAGTAACTGCATTAATCGGCAGGAACTAGAATCGTAGATTCTTTTATGTTTTGAAAAACAGTTGTTCCATTCTTTCAAGTTTGATCTCGTTCTTTTTTTTCCGTCTCCAATTCTTTCCAACCATCATATAAATCAAAAATTAAAAGTTTCAATTCCAAGTTTGAAGTTTACTTGGCGTCAACATATATTGCTTCAATGTTTACATATAAAGGTTAAAGCAGCAATGATGGTTCAGCGTTCAACTGATGAGCTCTCACAAGTATCACATTTAACATGAATGTTCTTTAACTTCATTATGACATTGACAAAAAAAATTGTCCGTTTACGATCAATTCGGCACATTTCAAGAAAAAAAAAATTAAAAAGAAAAAAAAAAACAAGAACGACGTAAATTAACATTTTTACCATCAAATTACTTTTTTTTCCCCAATTCAATCATCGATTAAATTGTAACCAATTTTAAGCCTACGCAAGACATACGCATGAAAGAAGGAGAAAAAATGCCTATTTTTTAGCTTTATTGTTAACCAAATACTCCTTCTGTTTCTCTGTCAAAAAATCAAAAAACAAAAACCAGAAAAAAAATACTGCTCTCATCATCAACATTATACATTCATTTATGTTCCCAATCAAGTTAATATTTTATTGCTTTAATTCTTTTTAACTGTAGTGCATTGGTACTAACTGATTATTACAATTCAACAAATTACTTCATCTGACTTAAGCTAACCGTTTGGATTCATTGAAACATCCAAACATTTTCGAAATCGACAAGCTTGACACTGATTTCGACGTGCCACATCAACAATACAACAATGCGACTCTTTACATTCGTACTTCAAGTTACGTCTAATCGACCTACAATCATCCCCACTTTAATAGCCGTATCACTATACCATTTGCTTTAATCATAATGTAAATTCCAAAAAGAAAGAGAGGAAGGAAGTTTTTCCGCCAAAAAAGATGAGTAAAAGTTTTTCTTTTGTGGAACTGATTACGGCTTTCAGTCAGTCATTACCTTTTAAAAAAACCTCGGCAACCATCACAACTTTGAACTCCATAATGTCGACCTAAATCCAAACAAACAAATTATATTTGGTTGATGATAAGCGAACTGTAGAGATTAATAACTCTACATAAAAGCCGGAAGATTTTCAGAAAAAAATCATAAAAAACTTGCCACTGGCACGATCACCACAAACTCGACAAACTGCTTCAGATCGATGCATCTCAAGGAATCAAAATTACGAAGCAACAAAAGCAGCAACAGCAGTAGCAACAAGAAGCAGTCGGTTTAAAAGACGATTTAGCTGGTCTGGAGAGCACTAAAGCTTCATCTTTCAATCTGAGAAAGCCTGGGCGTCCAAGATGCTCAAGTGATTAGCAATAGTTCGCTTAAAGATAAAAGTCGCAATGCACTAATTGCGCAGCAACAAAATCAGTTATTAGATCCATGCATTGATGGGCTTTCACGTGGGAACCCTGGCCTTCAGAATATGCCAAACCTCATATCAGCTTTCAAAACACCATTGGATTTTGTTACATCACTTTTTGACTTCTATTTTAGGGTGCTTTTTTAACAGGAATCACAAATTAAGAAAATCTAAAAGTTTATAGTTAAAGCATTTGATGAATACTGGAGAACGTTTTTTTTTTTCATTAAACGAATTCTATAAATGCCATACACACCTCAAATGGGAATTACAGGCGTCGGAATCACATTAATCATTAATCCTTTTAGATTGATATTGGTTATACTTGCCAAAGTTCTTTTCTTTTGTCTCTTATATAAGTAAACTTGCCAATTATAGAGACAAGCTTTAGCAATCCTTCTACAGGTAGCAAAGGTTACAGGTCAAAAATTTCTAATTTTCAGAAAAAGAATTATAAAATTTAACATACGAGGCCGCAATGTTTTAAAAGAACCAAAACGGTCCCAGCCAAGATACTATCATTTTACACCATCAAACGTGTGACTCTCACAATGAGTCTAACAATTTTTTCACTCATTCTTTATTCGACCACAGTGCTCAGTGCCAGCTACGATAGGCAGTCTAAGTCGATTAATGAAAATATGAAATTGCAACAATACAGCTTTTTTGCTACTACCCATAACTTTCGTTGAAAAACAAACCCAAAACTAGTAACATGGTGATTGACAAAGCATTTCATATGTATAGCCTAACACGAGAGATAAAAAATGTTTACAAACTACACAAATGCAATGGATGTGGATGTCGCCAGGCTTAACAGTAAAATCAGAGAGTCACTTTCTCGTCCAACAACGAACCTTTCACATCTGCGTACCTAACACGTCCAAAAACTGACACTTTTCAGGACTTTCCAAAAGTTTTTTCTGCTTCATAATAAGGACCTTTAAAACCCTATTAGCAGACGTTGTTATTGACTTGGAAAATGGCACCAGAGTTCACCACCAGAGCACCGTTCCTTCTTTAGAAAACAACGACCCCATGAATTCCTTACTTGACTTTATTAAGGAACTCTGAACAAAACTGAGCTGGACATTACAGTGTTTGCCATTGGTTTCAAATCCGCAAATTATGCACAAGTGGAAATTGGCTTTGAAAAAATTTCCGCTGCATTATTAATGTCTCCACCAATTATACTACGCAAGTATGCAACAACTCCTCATCCTTGCACAATTCCAGCAAGTCATGCCCACCTTACTTTGAAAACAAAAAAATAAAAAAAAAAGCAACCCAGCACATCACAACACTCAACAAATCAGAAATGAGTCCTTAGTAATTAGGTAGTACATCTCCCCATCCTGTCATCCAAGTAACTCAAAAACCCTGCAGGTTCCCAGAACAGCTACCAAACAAGTAGTCTAATACTACACAATGATTATGTAAAGTTTACCAATAGAACTTATGCACGAAAAATAAACGCCGTCCTAGATTCCAGTCTTTTCCCATTAGTTACACACTCTTCAAATCTACCTTTCTGCGAACGTTAAAAACAAAGAACAATTTCAACGACAATATTTACTTTTATCCCAAACCAGCACAACATCCACGTATTATTGTGTTGTAAACTCCAGAATTTCCTTTTCGAGACGTCTAAAACTGATGCATCAAATGACTTGCTGCAAGTACACTTTAATATACATGAATAACAAACAGAACAACAATTTATTTTCATATAAACAATAGAACAACTTTTAAAATTTCTCAAAACTTTTCTTTGATCCGGCTGCCTTTACAACCTTAAGGACATTAAACCTTACAGTTTTCGATAAGGGCCGACATTCCCCCACTATAACAACATCGCCTATAGCAATATCCCTAAAAAAATCAGTAGTCAATTTCTTAAAAACAAAAAAGTTTAAAACCTAAGTTGAAAAAAACAATCTGCAGCTGAACATAGTTTAGGAATAATGATATCTACAGCCAGACGCCAATTATATGCGGACTAAATTACAATACAAATCACATATTCCACCAAAGAAAACAAGACTGCTTTATGTATAGCGTCAAAAAGATCAATTTTTTCAGGGCATAATCACTGCGTAAAAAACTATTCTTAGCATCAACCGCTTCTTGAAAAGCGAGATCAAGTTCAAAATGAAAGTTACTAACGAATAGAAATATCAACTTAAAGCTAAAAAATGATATGTCAATTAACTAAAATATTTGCCGGTAAAGGAAAAATACAGCTGAAGAAAAAAGTTAACTGTATTAAGAGATAGAGTTCCAACAAATTCTCACCTAGCACTTGCCACCACTATTGAGTACCAACCAGCAATTGTAAAAATGCTCCTACATAAAGTGCTGAGTATTTAATTCTAGATTATTCTTCCAGGAGAACAAATATGAAGGCTTTTTGTATCATAAACTAATGAATTATGATGGTAACAATAACGAGGGAGTTAAAACAGTTAAAAAAGTTAAAACTTTCTGAGCAGAAAATGAACTCGTCGCATACGAAGAATACTACTGGTACTGCTTAGAGCAACTTCACTGAAGAAAATGACATAAGAAAAAACTTGCCTGAACGCAGGTGAACAATGCACAGACATGTTCCTATGCCGCTTCTCGTAACGACGATACTTTTTAATAAAGTGTAGATAATCACGTCTGATTACGATCGTTCTTTGCATTTTTGTTTTGACAACAACTCCAGTCAAGATCCTACCCCGAATAGAAACATTACCAGTGAAGGGGCATTTTTTGTCTATGTACGTACCAACTTTTGCCTGAAAAATCACTGATTAACTAATAGTAAACTATATTTTTGTTCGAAACTCAAGACCACGCTTTTAAAAGCAGTTCTGCGTTGATCAGTAGCAAAACTCAATTATTTCAAACCTTCAATCCTGATATGCAATAAGAAAGTAAAACACCTTCTAATGCCGCTTTAGTTTCAAAGCAATACCAAGAAAACACACATCTAGAAAGAAATTTAAACAGCCACTCAACGCTTGGTCACGACCCTTATCAAATTCAAATGTACAATTATAAACTTGGATGTTCCCTTACCTCTGTAGGTGTTTTAAAGCCTAAACCAACGTTGCGCACATAACGAAGGCTTTTTTTCGACTTTTTACCAATGCCAAGGGTTCGTAATTTGTTGTTTAAAAAAACACGTGGTTGCTTTTGAAAAGCTCTTTCTGTCTGCTCTGCCATCTCAGTCCCAGTTTATGCTGAACAAAATTACTGTCAAATACGAAAAACAGATACAGGAACACCTGCACAACGGCTAAAGATACCAAGGCGGTTCAAATATTATAGTGTAACACGCTGCAAATTACTTTACAGAATAGCGAAGTTTATAAAGCAAATTGTCTCCATGTTTCCATTTCCATCAAAACTCCAAAACAGCAAAGCAAACTTAACTTCTCCGAACAACACTTATACAAATATATTAGGAAACAAGCTTCACCTGATATAATGCAACATCAACAGAACTCCTCAAAAGTCGACCAAAGCAACAAACAAATTGACACTGGCACCTGTGTAAGTAAAAATGTTACGGAGAAGTGGGCAATGTTCTAAATATAAATCCATTTCATGTGCCTTTCAAAGCCAGAATGATGTGAAAAAGGAAACGACAACTAAAAAACTACTGTTGAACGAAACCTTTATCAGAATTATCTCCAAAAAAAAAAGCAATGAGAAAAAAAAAATCATGAAACCCTTTATCAGCCGGTGGAAAAAGTCATAGCTTCCATTAATTTCCGAGGCAAAAAACAGGACTACCGTATGTCAAATCACTGAAAGACAGGCAATTCAAATTCGAAAACTGATTGCAATTTTAACAGCTCTATTGCGCCGAGTGAGTTGTACGTTGGGGAGGCGGTCAGCCAG